GGGATTAGGATTGAGGGTTTAGGGGTCATATAGGGTTATATAGCAATCATATGAGCTATAGTCTACACTCCTTAAAGGGGGTATAAAACTGCGCTATATGTATATCTATACATATACAGAGGTATGTCAGGATTATATGAGCTATAGTCTAAACTCCTTCACGGGGGGTTATGTAGGGGATAATAAAGGGTTTAGGGTTTCGGATTTAGGGTTTAGGGTTCAGGGCTTAGAGTTTGGGGTTATATAGGGTATAGGGTTTATGGATAGTATGAGCTATAGTCTAAACTCCTTAAAAAGGAGCTATATAAGCGGATTATATTGGGGGCTATTATAGGGGTTACTGGGAATATGAGCTATAGTCTAAATTCCTTAAAAGGAGCTATATAGGGGATTATATTGGGGGCCTATTATAGGGATTACTAGGAATATGGGCTATAGTATAAACTCCTTCAAGGGGTTATCTAGGGGATTAGGTTATATAGGGTTTAGGGTTTAGGGTCTAACCTCCTCAAAGAGAGGCTCTATAGGGGATTACATAGTATCAAGGGGGATACTTGGAGTTTAGACTATAGCCCATAGGAAGATACTTATGCCTTACCCTCAGGCTCCATGTAGGTATTATTTACAACCCTAAACCGCCCAATGTAGGTATCATTTGTAGACTTAGAAGCCCAGGGTTGCCTTCAGGGCGGAACTGCGCAAATAACAGGCTACTTTTAGGCCTCAAATACCCTGCTTGGGATGGTTTGTAGTACCCTATGGCTCGCAGTTACCTAAATAGTAGGTTACTGGGGTATGTAACTATAGGGTATATAGAACCTAGAACCCATTATTTAGATAACTGGGAGCCCTAGGAGTACACACAAAAAAAACATCATTTGGAATCCATTATTTGGGTGCTTGCACCCGCAGGGTTCGGGATCTCTTACGTGGATAGTCCCGATATAGTACCGTGATTTAATTGGGTAGTACCGCGATTTAATTGAGGAACATTTGCAGCTCTTAGGGTGGATTTCCTTGAAGTTTGAAAAAGCTTGCTCCGTACCCCTAGATTTAGGGTTTGGGGTTTAGGATTTAGGGGTTCAGGGGTGTAGGGTTTATGGGGGATCCGTAAAGCCCAAACTAGGTACTCTTCATAGACTTTGGATCCCGAGGCTCCTATAGAAATCCCGGAAACAAGGAATAGGGTGTAGGGTTTAGGGGTTATCTGGGGTTATATTTGGATAATAGAATATAAAATGAAAACTACTATTTAGGGTTTAGGGTTGTTGGGTTAGGGTTATTGGCGTCTGCTTTCTGTTCTAACCGCTCAGGAAAGGACAAGGTTGAACAACCAATGTTTAATCCCTTCACCCTAAATCGCTCCCATACGATCTGCCCAGGTTCCGATACACGCTGCGCTTGCGGAGCTTCCCGGAAACGACCTTCCAGGTCTAGTCTTAGGGACCTGCCAGGTTGAGGTTTTAAGGTTCGGGTTGAGAGTGTGCTATAGAGTTTTAGGTTTAGGGTTTAGAAGAGGGGTGGATTAGGCCGACATATTATACTTTACCCAGGGTGTCCAATGAACCTTAAGCAAGGATCATATCCCAGGTGATACTAGGATCACTAGGATGAGTACAAATCCAAGAGTTTGGGCTGTTTAGGTAGGCTTGAGGACCCTAGGGATCATTCCCACCTGTAAGCTGCCCACCTTCAGTGGGCTTCTATAAGCCGTACTGCCCGGCACTCTCAGTCTATCACCGAAACCGCTGCCGTTTAGGGTTTAGAGTTCAAACAAAAGCAAACCAGAAGCAATGGAAGCATATAACCCCAAAACGAAGCACACAAGCGTCCTGGACCTTCAGCTCAAAGCCATAGAGTCCCACAGCCCCAGCCTAAAAGCTGCGATCTTGGCGTAGAATGTGATTACAATTTTATGGTGATATCATATCAAATTCCAGACAGGAACATGAAGTTCGGATGTGTGCAGTATGAGAAGCCCGATGATGATTTCGTATCTGGTAGCAGGCGCTGGCATTGGGGAAGATCCCGGAGTGGATCAAGCCCTACCTTGCGCTGCATGCGGAGGCCCTGTGGGGGGGGGGGAGGTGGTTTGGTTTTCAGACTTGTGGGCCATGGTTGAACTTGTTTTGAAGTTTGTAACTTAGTAAACCCCAGCAAGAACTGTATATACCGTATCCAGATAGAAAGCCAGATTTGCGGAGAGTGTTCAGGACCTATGGTGCGCGTTAAAGCTTCTAAGGGGCATAATAAGGGGCGTGGGGCTTTTCGCCGTGGCTTCGGATTTGGGGGTCCAGCTGTAGACTCGTGACCTACAAGGCTACAAGGGACATTCTTGTAGTCTCTTTTTATTGCCATATGGCATTTATTCCTTATACAGCTACCACTATAAAATCCCCATATAAACTAGGTAATCCGTACATAACCCTATGCAATCCCTATATAGCCCTGTATAATCCTCTTCTAATCCCTGCATAACCCTGTGTTAGCCCTAAATTATCCGAAGCCCATTATTGCCCAACACTAAGGACAGGAGTCCATGAAACTCGACAGGGAAGCCTACTTCCGTTTTAGGTTTAGGGTTTAGGGTCTACTTCCGGTTAAGGTTTAGGGTTTTGGGGTTTAGGGGTTAGGGGCAGTTTCTTAGCCCAAGTCTGATAGGAAAAATCAGGGAAAGCTGACTAGAGGGTGGGTTTCTGGCATTATACTTAAACCCTACACGCTAAATGAGGTCCCTAGATCTCACCTACCTTGATCGGGTAGTGTAGCCGCCTAACTTAAAGCTAGCATGGTTGCCTTTAGTACAGTAAAGGCCCAGTGTTATGCATCTGACCCTCTTCAAGGAATCCCAACACCCCTCATGATGCTAGTTCTTTACCAGAAGCCCTGAACCCCTTACACCCCTTACAGCAGTGCTGCGAAGGCAGAAGCTCCAGATGATCTGGCCATTTCAGAGGACGAGGAGGCGCCAAAGCCAAGCTTTAGGGGTCTAAGGTTGGATATGGCTCTGGTAGTAATCCTAGTAGCAGCAGTGGTTGTAGTCCTGATACTGTGGTGAAAGTATTCTGAGCTCACTAGACCAGTGGTCATATTGGCAGCCCGTATGCACTTGACTCCGTTTATGTACTTACCCTCTGGGTGGTATGCTATACTCCTTCCCAAAAACCCAACAAACCCAACAAGGAAAATACCTAGGACCCGGCTTCAATGTGGTAATTTCCCAAAATGAGGGGACCCTAATATAGACCCCAAGATATACTATAATCCTTATTATTGGGACCCCCAAAAAGGGTACTCCTAATTTTAGGAAACCCTTAAACCCTAAACCCTAAACCCTATCCTTGCGAGGCTGGTCCAACCGATGCTGGAAAGGCCATCGAGCTGGAAAACAACCTTATGATGGAGGCCGCCCAAGTTTTTTTAGGGTTTAGGGTTTAGGGGGTGGGGGACCCTTAAGTAGATAGAATATTGTGGTTATATTGGGGTTATATAGGGATAATGGAAAAGAAAATGGATACTATCATATTATGCTAGTTGGGGTTCGAGAGGGTGGAGACGGTGCTTAACGGTCTCAGCCAGCACTAGGATGCAGGGTTCAAGGTTTGTCGACTGGGGGCCTAGGAGCTTAATGTCTTGGCGTTGAAAGCCTTGATTTTCGGGGGCGACAACCTCAGGGCCTGTGTCTGGTGGATGTTGTTAATCTGGGCTGGCCCTTGTGGCCTTGTGGTATTAAAGCTTTTCCCGTGTTAGTTTCCTACGGACCCTATGTACCCAATATCTTTCTAGGGGCTCTAAAGGCCAACTGAGTAATGTGTGAGTCTTCATAGCGCGCGTTTCCAGATTGGGTTGCAGAAGCTAGCGCATAGTGGAGGCGCCTGAGAAGGTTCTTAACTGTGTGGAGGCGCCTGAGAGAGTTGTTAAGTTTGTGACGGGAATTGGGTCTAGCTTACTGGTTCTTGGTAGGGAATAAGGGAATATAATCCCTAATCCGTATGTATTCCGCATTCCCTACTAAGAACTAGAAGGACTGTCTTGACCTACCGCTGGGCAGAGTCTGGTCTGATCGTCAAGTATCACCCTGTGACGCCCTATTGTGGCTAGGGGGGGCATGGACCCTCGGGCTGTGGAAAAAAGGTACCAAAAAACCTTGAACCCTAAATCCTAAACTCCAAACCCGTTTTTTTGAGCTTTGGGAATCCCTAGGGATCCAATAGCCCAATGTAGGTAATACTTGTAGACTTTAGGGCCCAATGTAGGTATTATTTGTATACATGGATCCTTAGGGAATGTGTTTGGTTCATTGGCAAGATGGGATGCCTTGTGGCTGCTGCATCTTAGGGTTTAATGTTAGCATGCTGGCCGCATGTAAGGGATTGCAGAGACGCTTTTTCCACTAATGGAGAATGGAATGGAAAATAATATGGCTACCGCTCAGTATGAAAGGTCCGGAACAAGGGCGAACGCACATCCCGATCCAGACCCCGATCCAGAGCTCCGGATCAAGTCCCCGAATGCCGTTCCAGACCCCTCCGTTCCAGACCATCGAATGCAGTACCTGAAAAGTGATGTGTTGAGCTGGGTGTCCGTTCCATACCCGTTCCAT